AAAGAGGATTCCTCCTAAGCCCATGATCAAAGAATGAACCCCCAAAGTTGGAATTTTTCTGGAGTCAGCAATCTGACAACTATATGTGTACCAAGTTTCAGCCTCTCATCATGTCTAGAACATGGTTAGAATTAGCGTCAGTCAGTCAGTCAGTCAGTCACCATCGTCCATCGAGTGATACAGGGTCCAATAGAATGCCTGGTCTGGTACTCTCTAGTTGATGTAGTGACTGTTCATAACCAAACCCCTGTTCAAGGCCAAGCGGCTGCGTATGGAAAACATCCGCCAACGGCCAAGAGCCTGCTTAAGGTCTGAAGCCTTGAGATCCAAAAATCCAAATGCCTTAAATCCAAATCTACAAAAGAACATCGTCATTGTAACTGTGATTGTCAGAGGCCTTCTGTTTTTTATTATTATAAATTATTTATTTAGTTACTCATTTGTTTATTTATTCATTCTTTAGTTCAAGTATTCCTTTTTTATCAATTTCAAGTTGGATAGATTATTCGGAGTGGTCTAACTAACCTTTTATTAGGCAACCCACAGTGGGAGGCCAAGTACCATCCTGACCCTAGCGCCACAGTACCTCATATTCTCTGTATTGATTTCAAGGAATTTCGTGGAGCGAGAAAAATGTGCGTGAATCCTCCACGTAAAAAAATGCAGATGTTTATGCTCATCTCACATATATTGCGCCATATCGAAAATACAAGAAGCTACCTCTCTATCTATCTCCATAGTTAAATTATCCACTCTTCAGAGCTATCTCTATGAAAATGCGTCATGTTAGCGATTATTCATAAAAGTAATGGCTGTTTGTTGAATAGCTGAATAATGAAAATCAAAGTGCCCAGGAAGGGTTTTATTTCAGTTGCACAATACATGTTATATCTGGATATGCACTTGGAACTCCCATTCTATTCTTTTCGCCCGAGTAGGACAAAGTGCGGCACTAAATGGATAGTGGTCTGAGTTAAATGTTTATTGGCGCTAGCTTAAAAAAAAAACCCTTCCCCTCCCCCCGGACGTGAGTTATTGTCATTTGAAATAAAGCTAGGTAGGTCTCAGCAATTGCTTCTGTTTGCTAGATTTCTTAAAACCGCGACTATGAGATGGAAATATTCCTGATGGTAATATGCCTGATGGTCAGACTGTGTTGAGCATAATTCGGGAATCTTCATAGAAAGGACATTTAAGAGCTGGCTCATTCCCTGGAAAAAAAAATGTAAGCCAGGGATCGGATGTTATCTCCCTGCATAATTTTTAATTCCACAGTTTCCGAAGCTGCAGAGGCCTCATGGAACGTGCGTTGTGAATGTTATTGGCTAACGGGTGGATTACTCAAGTACTTTATCAATTAGAGGATTAGTGAAAGCATTATTGCTGGGCTGTGATTCGTTTGATAAGTCACCACTTTGGGTCCCCCTCTTAAGTTCATTATTTCCATGTTCGATCAAATCGATTGCATTCTACGTTACAAGTCAAATCTAGCTAATGAATGATGACAATCGTAATCTTGCTACATGTGCATTCCAACGGAGATTCCTGCATGTATCTCAGCATGTGCTGCTCCATAATCACCAGTTCTCCAAGCCCAGAGCAAAACTAAACTGAAGGTTTTTGACCCTAAGCTCTGCAAGAGCATTGTATGGAATGTTCTCACCATCTATCCAGGTGCATACAGTGCCCGTTTTCAGTTTACCTCCCCCTATCCACAAGCCGGACGGATCCACCAGTGCCGGGGCCATGTACGTGATGAGGTCATGCCAAGCTTATCCTCTGTCATCCATGGACAAGTGGCCTCTTCCATCCGCCTCAGAAGTGGTTGTCGCCGTGGTATAATTCATTGACCCTTTCTTGAAGTTTAGAAAGTGAATATTAGTGGTGATCATGGCGAAGGAGTAGTCTCAAGGGACGAGTGCGCCTGCGACAAACGTCGAGGTAGTAACGAAGTCGATGGGGACAGTTCCATTCATGTATAAATCATCCTGACAGCGTGTAATTCAAAATCGTATCTGAAACTAATTGTTGTCCATTCGCTTGTAATTATAGGATGTAACCTTTTCTTTTACCTCTTTCCCTCTAGCGAACGGACGCCAAGACGAAGCAAGTTCTCAATCATAAAATAAAACTAGACAATCGACAGATGGAGGTAATGGAGTGAAGAAGGCTGAGGTCGTGGAGTGGCAACGATACAAGATCCCAAAACATGCATTTTTTTAAATAAATATTTTATTTACTAATTTCCTACACCAGAAGGAGATGCAAGAGCTGGAACTCGCCCAGAAACTCATCTAACAGGAAAGAGAAAATGGCAAAATTGTGAGATTCCGTAGATGGATCCCATGGGAAGGAGGAAAAAATGAGTCAATAAATAAGAACTATTGCTGAAGAATAAGCAAAGCCGATGGCAGAATAGCTGCAGGAAAATTAGGAGAAAGCTTCCCTTCATTTGAAGGCCGATATTCGAATTGGAGGCTATATTAGCTCGAACATCTTATGGGAGATGTACGAAGATAGTTTGACATTCATCTCAATTATGCGTGCGTCCACAGTTGAGCTTCTTTACTTAGATTCTCACTTATTTTCAAACTACCCTCGCCATGACAGATTCGGATAAGGAACTCGGTAATAGCCAATTTCTCTATTATTTCAGCGGACAAGCACTTTTTCGCTATTGAGGAATTTGCGACATTAAAATGTATGTTAAGACTCTACACGAGGAATCACCCAAACCAATTTTTCCACTTTTCAATATGTAGTAGAGAAATTAGTGAATTCTGAAGGAAAAATTATTGGAGCAGTTTGTGAGAGATTCAAGAAAGAGTACCCGTGAAATACTTATTTTCGGGGAGATTCTGGGGAAGAGGGGGACAGTTAATTTTTACCGTATTTCTAATCCATGACAGAATGGTATACCATGACAAGGTAATGGAAGAGATTTTGCACATCTCACGATGTGAAACTTTTCCAGCAGCCCCACAAACACGCTCGCAGGAAATAATTGGGGGGGGGGGGGGGGGGGTGATTCCATATCCGTTGGAAACTCCATGGGAGAGATTTATGGCCAAATATTTGTCAAAGGAATCAACTGCCAAGTATGGGGAAAGGAACATGAGGAGATTGGGACAAATTGGTAAATCCACCGCAATGGACAGAAGGTGTGGGTTCTAATGGCGTTGCACATTAATTATCGTGATTCATATGAACCCCCTGCCGGGAATATACCTTGGAAGCCCATACATAAAAGAAGTCGATGGAGCGGGCAATTTCCTTGTCCTCATCATTCTCTCGTCTCGTAGAGGACCTTTCCCCCTTGACATTCACCTTTTTTGCGCATCAAATGTCGACTGGCGCAAATATGTCATGACTTCCATTTCTCCGCGACATATACAGGTACAAGAACTGCGAGAAGAAAATTCGGGTCCACATCTCCAATCTCTAGTTTCTAAACATGTATTAGAACGTGGTAGTGTTTATGACACAACAAATGAGCTATGAGTGATGAGAAAAAGAAACTGTTGGGAAAAAAAAGTTGGGAAATTTCCCAACTTTTGAACTGGTGATGAACCCATCAAATGCAGCACGTTCAAACTGTCTCATGGTGACCGAATAAATTAGGGTATTTATTACATTCATTTATTTTAACTTGCCTACCTTGCGGTCGCAAGGGCAAAGGTTTAAAACCCCACCTTCCATCCTCGTGAAGACACACTGACCTTGAAAGCAGCCATCTGACGTTGACGAAAGGAGGCACCGCGCCTCGTATGCTCTCGAGTAGATGTCGCACGCTGACACTGCAAGAACGATACAATCGTCGTGCAGATGTGGGGGCATGAAGGTGGTGAATCTTCGCTCGTCGCGCGGAGCCCACTCCCACACGGATGATGTTGGCATATCTGACGACGAGGAACTATTAATATAAGAAGAATTAGTCAATCCTCAAGCAACGATATGTCCCATATCAGGGGTCGCCTTAACAACCCAAGGACAGTTTAGGAGAAGACGATCTCGCTGGAAAAGTGTTAATCCACTGCACACTGTCCGAGAGGCAGAAACTACTACAGGAATCATCGAGTCCCGTGACCTGGACTCCTATGCGTTACGGAAAGCGCATCGAATTCAGACGGCAGGACAATCTTAACGTGACCGACGCCAGGGAAGAAAATACCTACGAACACAGAGCTCTTCCGGAGGACAATGCAATACGTCTCACGTTTCCAGCAGGATGGGCTAGGACAGGGGTCGGGAACCTATGGCTCATGATCCAAATTTGGCTCACGAACCGAAAAGTTTGGCTCATGAGTCATGGCTAAAAATCATGGTAGTTCCTCATTTGTCTCATGTATCAACGAAAGCACTTGTCTGTTGCCAACTTTAGGAAAAATTCCGTTGTTTTGAAAATCTTTGGCTTGCGAGCACTTACCTCAATCTTAATATGGCTCACATGGCCAAAAAGGTTCCCGATCCCTGGGCCGGGAGGATAAAGAAAGGAGAAATGTACGGACGGAAGTACATACATTCGTTCCGAGAAGAGATTCAGCTTATGTTTGACCATGGTCAAGCTTCAGAGGTCCTGGCTGGACAGGAGACGCCAACGTACCAGTATACCTTTTCCCCTTATTTTCTTGTCTTTGCGCCCTTTATTTTTCCATCTTCCTTTTGAAAGAAATTCGACTCGTGTTTCCCGGCCTCCACTGAAAATCTTTCATTTTTCTGACCAATAATTCTCGATAAAACTCGGAGTGAAGCGATTCGCCTCATCTATTCGCATAATGCTTAATTCTCGCAAGAGAATTGGAAACAAATGATTGTTCCCTGGTACCGAACATTTCCAATTCAGCAATAAAACGTCGCACCAGCATTGCAGATTTTATACTCCAGGCAATACGTCTGCACGACACAATGGACTAACTTATTATCAGACCGCAAACTCAAGCCTTTAATGAAACACATTGCATTTTATTTTTTTTTATTCACGCACTTTCAGTTCTACAAATACCCACAATAATGTTCCATGTGTTTGGGGGAAAGGTGCATAAAACCGCAAGAATAGATAAACATGTGCAAATTAGTGATTTAGTAAGTTTGACATATTTCATACGATAGGATGGAAAATCATGAACTCAAAGTTTTGTGTAATTTTGCGAGCGTAATTGTCTCGCGGGAAAAAAAAACACATTCCTCAATTTCTGTGAGGTTGAGCTGATTCATTCGTACAATTTTGCGAGAACGATTAATGCAACGGAAACATCGCCATATCTAGTATATGACGTGAATGGAACAACAAAATAATTTCAGCGAGATGATGGGAGCCTTAGGTTACACGAAGCGAGTTCAGGGCAATCGGATTTCGCAGATGACAGCCCTCACGTTAGAACAATCGGTGTCATTCCACTCGTCGGTGACGTTCGATCCCCCGTAAGTCCAAGGAAGCTCCATGCATTGTTCCGGGATCTTGTTGAATTTGAAGGATGGCTCCCCGGAATGCCAGAAGGTCTGACCCGAGACCGGCGTCCCTGCGGGAAGGAAGGATGAAGGATACACTGTTGTGATTCAAACTGCTCGATTTCTCCTCCGCGAAGATCTCACTTTCATTTTCGGGAAACGATTCCGAATTCCGTTCCGCGGACGATCGCATCAGACTCCCCTTTCCCTGACGGACTCTGATCGTTCTTTGACGATATGGAAACGATATCTTATGATTGTTTGGCAATCATTCTGCTCGAGTTCTTGCTTAGGCGACAATAGCGAGAAATGTTGCAAAGCGGTTGCGATCTATTCATCAAAGGCATTGATATCGACAGGTCGCCGTTCGCGCGAGATCGGAAAACCCTTACCGTCGTTCCAGTGATAGACGTGGTTGCCGTCGAGGTCGTTGCCCCCCAACCAGAAGTTCTTCATCGCTCCGATTTTCGACGTGGCATATTGAATGATGTGTTTGTGCCAGGCGACTCCCTTGTCGTCCTGGACGAGGTTGGCCTTGTCGGTCTTGCAAGCGGCAACCCCGGTTGAAAAATTCATATCCGCGGTCATATTCTTGAGGAAATGTATCTCGTTCGTGATCATCGCGAAGGTGTAACCGGGTGGGACGAGTTGGCCTGCGAACGTCAGAGAAGCGATCCTTGCAAGGCGCAAAGAGTCAATAACACGATTCAAAGTACGGAATGCACGATCCTCTCGTCCTTTAAAAACTGAGAATACAAAAAAAATGGTTCACTTGTCGAAAATCTCGACCGCATAGCTCGCAACTATTTCTCGTAAATGGAATCCAGTAAGTAAGTTTTTCCAATTTGCTAAAGGCCTATTTCGCATCTTGATGGACATTTTTCAAAATGTTTCGTATGATCCGCAAAACTATGCGCTCTCTTCTCATACCTATGCGTCCGACAGTCTTCACAACGTCTGACCTTTTAGCAAAATCAAAGTACGCTCTTCAATATTGCAACAAACGGGGTTAGGAACGTCTGAGGACAGCCAAGAAGCGAACGTGCTAAATAGTTCTTCCAAAGGGACATCCCTCATCTCAATTTCCATTCCCATTATAAATTATCTAAGGAGCAAGGAATAGAAGCAGGAGACTTCGCCCAGTTTCTTTTTTTTTCATTGCTCAAAGTAACGTCATGCGATGAAATACATCATACGGGACCGTCGGTATTCCTTACTGTCATAGGTTTCTCGTTCGTGCATCATACAGGAAGAAAATAAAAAGGCGATAATGTGTGACTGAGGGGGAAAATCCAACTCTCCCTCATCCTAAAAATATAACATACACATATTGTCTACCACGGTTTAGAGTATGGAAATGCTGCTGCAAAAGAAATACGCCATAACAAATTGTAAAAGATGGAATTTACAATGATAAGTCACGTTGTGATGGGTAACAATTCTTAGATTTCAAATCGAAGAAGCTATTTGTCAGGAACTAATCGAAGAGTGTGAAGACTTCTGAAGCCCAGAGCTGGGTTTCTCTTTTTCGAGCTCATTATTTTCAATAATTCACGATCCGCTTCAATTTCATCATTGAAACTTCACGTTGGCCCAGCATCAAGAAAACGAAGCAAGTTTTTCGTAATTTTAGGCTAGATTAGGATAGTGCACACTGCTCTAATAGAATAGAATAAATGATGTTCACTTTCACTCATAGATTCACAACGAATGATGGTAAAAGCTTTAAATGAGAAGTTAATTATAGAAGACACACGAAACAATGCCATGATATACATGTTTTACAATGTGGGAGAGTTCTTGTCCTAAAAAGCTACATGCAACATGAAATAAGAAACACGGTAAAGCATCACCGAGCGACATTTCAGAGTTTGGGATCGTCGCGCGACGCGACGGAAAGAAAGCGTGGCGGGTCGGGAGACGAGACTTGGAGAATATTCTAAGCGGGACTAAAAAAAGTTGAGCTTGTTAGGATTCAGCCTCGGTGATGCTGATCTTGCCCCTTCTTTTGTATTTAATAAAAGGAATATGAACACGATTTATCGTAGGATGTGCACTTTTTCCTAAATTATATCGAATTACGGCTAATGAAGTGGTGCCAGACGAGGTGTGTCATTTGTTATTCGCGCATCTTGCACCAACAATTTTTTTTTTACCTTGAAATAACTCTAAATTTCAGTTTGAACTTTTCTAAACGTTAGATTTCGAAAGAAATTTCGCAAGAGTAAGACATGAAAATCTCACTTCGAGTTTCTCTTTTCGTGCATCAGCATTGAATTCGGGTTGTTTTGTTCGTCATTTCTAGAGTTTTGGGATTTGGTCAAAGAATTGGAAAAACGGACGTAAGCAAAAGGGGAAAGAAATAATACTCGCGTAATTGTATGCACGTGCGAATAGCGAATTTACAAACCAAAATTATTGATGAATGTATCCAAACAAAAGTGTTGAATAGAATGCTCTTCTTTTCCGATCTCATGTCACACGTTTAATGAGTTCGTTCTGTCAATGATGACTTTCCCTGCAATCGAAAATATATTTTATGTTTCCTCGGGGATCTCACTGTCATAATAGAGCGTGGCAGAGATGTCGGTGAGATCGCTTTGCACGGTGGAATCGATACCTCCCAGCAGACAGACCGGATCCAGGCCGACTCTCATCTCCAGAGAGAACACCCTGCAGCTGGCTTTCCTTCGATGGGGAAAAAAAATAATAATTCATGACCTGTGACTCGCGGGTCCGTCGTCTCGAACGGAATTCACTTGGAGCACGAGCAGCCGCAAGTCTTGGCGCTTTTCCCGGTGAAATTGGCGATGGGATTCACGATCTTCGCGTTCACGTCGGGGACTCGTTTGTAAACCGTTGCATTTGCCGTTTGTGCTGATGCACCATCTCGAAAGCACGACTGCAGCGTGAATAACACGCCGACCTGAAGAATAAAGTCTGTTATCGTTTTTCCAAATATTCAAATAAAAATATACACATTATGGGGAAAATGAGGAATCACTTTTAAGCCGTAACCCTTTAGCTACTTTCACAGGGTTTAAATGTGAATGGAGTTATCCAGACATCTAAAAATATCATATGAATGGATGATGATACAAAAATATTTTCAAGGAACAATTATTCAAACCAAATTGGAAAGTTACAGAAGACCCTAAACCTTTCTAGGTGTCTCTCCTCCCTGCCTCGGTTTTTCGTAAGAATTGTTTCAAACTCAATTGTCAATACCGATTGGTTATCCAATCATTAATTGAAATGAACTCGGGAAAAAAACTCCAGTAAACGTCGAAAATAAAAAAATTCAACATAATTACTTTCAATAAATCGGAATTCGTATGTGGCCTGGACCATTTCTCCGAGTCTTACCTTCGAGGGATGAATCGCGGAAAAACGACGGATTATGGACAGTAAACGCTTCAGGAAAACCGTTTCGGCGAAAGTCGAGATAATAAACAAGAGGGTATCAGCCCAGGTACAGATTTGGCATTCCATTGACCGCTGTACCACTGGATTTATTATACAGGGTGTTCGAAAAGTCAATGTGCAGTAGAATTCATTTACTTTGTTGCATGTATTTTGTGTTGTACAGCGTATCACATGAATTGCATCATCAAAGACATGAATTTCCGCTCAATAATTCATGAAATATTAGCACCCATCCCCGATTCACATAAACGATTGTCTAAAATTCCTAGCTACAGTGAGGCCTCCTACGTCATGTCCGGAATTCTACTGCAGGGTGACTTTTCGAACACCCTGTATATATTCACCGCATCCTAAGCAATAAGTAACTGTTGTCATTGGTTCGGCGTTGACCTGTTCTGGATCTGGATGGTCCGTGCGTCCGCGTCGCGTGGAGACGTGATGTTAGTATGAAGTGTATAATGCCAGATGCCGCATTTCACGCGTGCGCCTAGCAACCCTGTCTACGCAGCCGGGAGCAGCCGCTCTCCTCCCTTGTGTACTATGGATCCGTCAAACGCTATAGCTGGAAGGGAAGTGGATGTTTTCGCGGAATACGGCCCCCTCCGACCCAATGGACCCAGGCGGAAAGCTGCGCCTGCGCATTGGGTTGTGTTATCCGGTCGGTATGGTTACTGAGGACAGAAGATATTTAGAAAAAAAAAGGGAAAAAGCGACAAATCGACCGCAATGTCTGACGTTTCCCCATAGTACTTATAGGAATGCCCGATAATGAGATGCGAAACAAGTCCTAGTCTCTCACCGCCTGCAGAATCCTGATGGAGAGTTTCTTCTTGGGAGAATTCGCGCCGATGGATCCCATTTTCCTGGGCCGTGTCCGCGGAGTAGCGTGGAAATCCTTCCGGGTTGACGGCCTCGAGCGGGTCGGACCTTATTCCAGGAATTTCTTCCTCCACAATCTCCCCTTTTGAAGAAAGAATTTAATCTATGTATTCTTCAATCTACTTTTTTTTTTAATTGCATTTTCGCCGAAGGATGCTGTACTGTCCGGAAATGACAAGAATGGGGTTAATAGGCTATTAAGAAAATAATTTCCGATTCGAAAGTGAAATTTAACAAATTACAGTAGAGTCGTGTGGCCGCAATGTACTACTCAAAACTTACTGGAGAAAAGGGTTCACAGGGATCAGCGGGAAAGGATTTGCTCCGAACAATTAAGAAATGTTCGTTTTGGGAATATCCGAGTCATTTTTCCATCCGGAGTGAATTCAAGGGGAAGATGTGTCAGCGTCGTTGGTCGAGACATTTAACGGGGTTCTCATTCTTTGCCACCCTTCGGGGAATTGGATATGCGACATTTCGTTACGCTAAATACCTGGAAGATCTGCAGCGCCATATATGCTCGGTAGACTAGGGACGATGTTTCTGTGGACATTGGTCTCTTGGTCGAGCGTTCGTAGCGTGAGGACGTGTTGGAGGATACTCTCGAGGTTCTGTCAGCTAAGTCGTGAGGTAGTTGTTACCTGGCTACTTTGTAGCAGTATTCATAAGTTTTCTGATAGCTACCTCCAACTTCACATTAAATCAGTATCAATCAGCTTAATTACTTTAAGTATTAGCTCATTACTCGTATTCCTTTTACTAAAAGGACTAGGACAGTACAGTCTTACCGGGTTACAACTAGTGTGAAGTACTGCAAAGTATAAGTCTAAAGCAATAGGAGTGTCGATAGGGATCAATAACATTAAGTAAGATGCCTAGGATGTGTAGATGCGTTCGTTGCGGGGATTGGGTAGGTGGGACTAGTGTACGAGAGGTATGCCAGGTATGCAGAGTCTGTAGCTTGGAGGAGCGACTAGGGGAGCTATCGGGAAGGCTCATTAGCGTGGAGGAGGAGATTAGGGGGATCAGGAAGGAGGTGGGCGAGGTACAGAGGGATGATTTAGTGGCGAGGGTAGTTAGGGTGGAGGAGGCACTCCGGGGGTTCCCCAGCCTTCCGGACTTTACTGGGAGGGTGGCCCTTTCGTCCTTTGACAGCGCGTCGAGTGCCGACTCCCAGGTGGCTAGTAATTGGGCTCAGGTCGTAAAGGGGGCGAAGGTTAAGCGATCCCAGGAGGCAGTCATTAAGACCGAAAACAAGTTTCTCGGGTTGAGGGAGGTCAGCTTGGA